AGAGAAATATTCGAGAAAGTATTTATGTAATCGTTTTTCAGTTGCTTAGAAAACATCAAATATAAAGGTTTGAAAATGGTTGACAATAGTTTTTGGTGAATATTGGAGTTTAAGTATTCTATTACATAAAAAGTCTTCGTCTTCCATTACAGGTTAGGTAAGGTCCATATTGAGTGGGTCTATTCGACCCTCCACCGCAACAATCAAGGGTTTATTGTGGTTCACACTCGACCAAATGAACCCAGCTTCTTAACGAAGCCGTTTAGTTTGTATGGTGAGTGCTCTTTCAGGTCAAATGATAAGAGTACGGCTCTGCCGAACTCTAAAAACCTGATTCGGTCCCCAGTGGGGCGAGCACAAAGTATATGCTCTGCTGTTTCATCGTTATTGAGGTATTCGGATAGTCAAGGTGCAAGATTCTCACTTTGATACCAGCGACAACCTTCTCATATGATGGTTTATGCATGCTAAAGATGCCTTAGATTCAACTGAGAAGAGCTTTTCGCCTCTGGTTTTGGTGAATCATCACTTGAGCGCAAACGTCTGCTTACCTTCTCATGCGGAGGTTTGTTCTTCCACCTGAGACAGATTCTGCGTACGCCGCTCAAGAATTTGGTGTAAGGCGTCTCCATAAGGTACCCCGCTCTTGATCCTGATCTAAATTCACAGGGAGGTCAGTTGGAGTCTTGAGCTCGACATCCATCTCCTCTGTAGACTCAGCGTCAGGAAGAAATTTTAAGTTTACTCTGTCCATAAAAGTCCCACGAGTAACTAGGGAAAGAAGGTCAATCACGACAGAGCCCTGCATTACCGTGACAAGGCGATGCTACGACGAGCGGGCGCCCAGTATCTCGAAGGTTCTGTAGAGACGACTGATAGACTCAGTGTCATTCACCCTCTTGGCACGGATACATACACCTTAGGATCAAGCTATTGTTGGAATGCCATTCAGTCAGGGAATAACAGAACCACAAGTGATGGCATCCGATGGCCGGTTTACTCAACCTCCTCATCCCAAGCCATTGCACTCGCCAACAGCATGCCCAGTGGTTCAGGCAATGAAAGATGAATAAGGACTGCCAACCCGCCCCAGAAATCAATGAGAAGATGAAAAAATGTCGAACACCAGATGATCCGACTGTGAAATACCTGAATCCCTTTTATTATTCTCAAGCACGAACTGATGACATAAAAACTACTCAGACAGTAAAACAATACAGTAATAACTAACTGTAAGCACGAGGCATTAGCCGAGTGCGATAATTCGTGCGCGAACGTGCGTACTATACTTTTTCTACCACTGACCGTAGAAAGGATGGTACAATATATTTGTTTGAGATTGTGGCTTTGGATAATCTCTTTCAGTCAGTCAGAACTGACACGCGTTACCGCTGAGCTACTCTGGCGTTTACTAATGTGATGTCTGATTGTGATATCAGTGATAGCATAGTTCACTTCGTGTATTGATTTGATGAAATTGAAGACTTTTTAATAATATAATAATGTCAAATACGAAAACGAACAGATAATTTTTGGTCTGCAAGATATTTTCAAATCCTTTTGCTTGACTGTTATAGTTCATGAAATTAACGGAAGTCACTTGTGTTGGCTGGTGGGGTTGAATAATTCAGTTTTAACCTTTATGTTGTGCCTTAGTATTTCAAAAATAGCTGCAAAAAGATTACAACAACTGAATAGAAGGAAAAAAGGGAGTTGTGTTACCTTCGAAAACGAATATTTGTCACCTGATGCTTCCTTAATGAATTGAATAATTTGTTCAGTGGTAAGCGTCGACGATTTTGTCGGTTAATAACCAACAGATTTGCGTTTCAGAAAGGCACGTAATTTGAAATGTTTACCATGGTCCATATTTTTCGGGATATTCAGGATACTCCTCAGTATAGAGTAAGTTGCCTATAATGACGATGGTTTCTAAGTTTTTACAAAATCTTCAAAGTAAATGGGAAGAACGTTTTCAGGAATCGAAGTTTTTTTTCTCTCACCTACTCATAAAATTTGCGAAATTATATTCGTATTTTTCTCTTGATTTTCCTAGCAGCAAATTATTCATGGCAATATTTGCTTGTTCAGTAATATATGGTGGGGTAGCACAATATCCTTTATCGTTATCACGAAACACTGAATGACGGCTCAATAATTGAAACAAGTGGTTGTTTTTTCAATAATACTACTAGATTCCAAAAACAGTTATTGCTCGAAATTTCGAAAATCGGTAAAGAGAAAAGATGATTGTTTTTTCATTTTTAGGGTGGTGGTGTGAATTTGCGTTTAGATACCTATTCGTGTGTGTTGGCTTTCGATATACCGTATGACCTAATGTTCCGTCCGGCTTTTTCATAATCAGTACATCGAGAAATGCGAGCTGGTTGCCTTCTTCAACTTCTTTCGTAAATTCAATGCGTGGATGGATTTCATTCAAGTGATTAAAAAACCTGGAAAGTTCCTGGTGTCCATGAGACCAAATCACGAAGATGTCATCGAGAAAATACACAGAACACGGAGCGAAACCCGAGAAAACAGCTCATCATACTTTATCCGTGAGAATCTTCGAGTTAATATATAGTCATTTTATTTTTGATAAAAGCAGTTCTGAAACTATTCTAAGGCAATAATGAATAAACTTCTAATCAATCAATCTGAAGGAGCAAAACACGTTTTGCTCCTTCAGATAAATCACACATTTATATATTTTGAGCCATATGAGTAGGTTGATATATAGTGCACAACTCCAACACCATCTGAATAGGGTAATGTTTTGATCTGACGAATTGCAAATATCGCTCAGTTTTTTACATGCATGATCGATATAAGGGTCATAAGATAAAGTTTCATCTATGTATATTTTTAGTAGTTCACCTGTATCAGATAGTTAAATGTTATTCAAATTCAATGCCTTTTTCAAAGAAAAGCGTAAATGAACTGTATGGCTTCCTTTCAGTTTGAGTTGGTTTACATCGAACCAAGAAGCAATTACATTCATGATTGAAATAATGTTGTCTTCTAAGTCCTTTAACGTATTTCCGAAAACTGTTTTGATAGTATCGTTCGCAAATGGTATAATACTGCCATATATTATATATCACACGAGATCATTGATGTAATGGTCCTATGATTCACCCTCGCGGTACCCCATACACATTTCATTAAGAATTGTTCATCAATTCCTTTTCAGATTCATTATGACCAAAATTCTTTGGTATAGTCAGAGAAAGTGTTGTGGGTCAAGGACCTGTTAGCTTTTATAGATCTCAAACCAGAAATACAATATAAGCCATCTATGATTCTTTTCAATTTTGACACCACCTTCATTTTGTTCCAGGTACCTGTTTGACATCAACCAGTACAGTCATCAGTTTAGTTCTGCTGTGTTTGCTGAACTTCATGTTGCGGTAACGATCAGCTGCCATTCTGGAAGAGGATCATTAGGTTGAAACGAAATCAAAATGATGTAAATATTCAAACCGCATGTAAATATCCCAGAAAAGAGTATGAATGAATGTGATCATTTTCTTTTGGTGAGATTTTTGAACGAAATAAAGGAGTTACGTTGATTATGTTAACAATCAGTTTTAATTTTGTGATCACTTTGGTTTCATATTCATACGTGACATGGAAAGAAGTGAGAAGGAAAAATAAAAATGAGGGTATCCTTGCAATTGATCAGTTTTTCATTTCTGTCGGATCAAATCAGGGCAGCTCAGTCACATCACAGTAGATATTTTCTTCAAGTTCATTAAACAAGTTTCAGAAACTAATAAGTTATTTCAATTGTAGACCTGCTCAATTGAACTAGATGAATATCCGAACACTTATCACAATCAAAATGAAAATATGTTCATGTGGGTGTTTTTTGTGATATATTGCAGATATATTGAAAAACATTTTCCTCCTTATGGATGAAAAAACCAATAGCTATACCTGACATTTTGAGGAAAACAGAAATCCCATCACTTGTAAAGAAATTGATTCAGAATGTGGTTTTCATCTGAGGGACAAACTACTTCACGTCACTTGAAATCATGTCTTTCAAATTATAATGGATGTCATTGACTGGAGGAAAGAATCACTTGTTATAAGTCAGTTTTCTTGACGACATATTCACTGTCATTCACACATAATTGAAATTTCCAATTTTGAAATATTATTTGAATGAGCAAACTTTTCCGGATTCAAAAAACTTTTTGTTCCCCATAATTTTCTGTTTTCCTATAGCAACTCGATATCTTCATCTTGTAAACAGAATTTTTGGTGAAAGAACTGGGATTTAATTTTCTACAATTTGGAGAATGAGGGGTTAGAACTAAATCTAAAAATTGAACACTTGGAGGCCAAGTCATCGATATCAATACTACATTTCATAAAAAGTTACCATGTACACGTACTAGATGAATCATATATATATAAAAATGGATGTTTGTTGGTTGATTGGTAAGTGATAAATTTCTACATCTCTCATCCGATCGTGATGAAACTTGACATGTATAAGTAATTTTTCATAGAGAAGGTTTTTTGGCTATCAATTTTTCTGTAACTCGCCACTAGATGACGTTGTTGAAAAAATCAGTATCGATACTATATATCAGGGAAAGAGACCATTTACGCGTACATGGATACAGTTTATAACAAAACTGGTTTTCTTTCAAAATTTTGACAAAGTATTGTTTTAAATTTTCTGTAATTTGGCGAAGGTACAGGTCAGACTCTAATTCAAATGTTCAAGAATTGGAGGCCAAGTAGTCAATATCAATACTATATATCAGGGAAAGAGACCACTCACGCCTACTGGATGGATACAGTTTATATGAAAACTGGTTTTCATTATAAATTCTGCAAATTATTGAGGTTTGAATTTTCTGTAATTTGGCGAAGGCAGAGGTTAGACTAGAATTTACATATTTAAGAATTGGAGGCCAAGTACTCAATATCGATACTATATATCAGGAAAGGAAATCATTCACGAGTACTAGATGAATAGAGGTTAGATTCGAATTTAAATATTTAAGAATTGGAGGCCAAGTAGTCAATATCGACACTGAATGTCAGTGAAAGAGACCACTCACGCGAACTAGATAAATACAGTTTACCACAAAACTGGTTTTCATTCAAAATTCTGCAAATGATTGAGGTATTGAGGTTTAAATTTTCTGTAATTTGGCGAAGGCAGATGTTAGACTAGAATTTAAATATTCAAGTTTTGGAGGCCAAGTAGTTTTTGGCAAATTATTGAGTTTTACATTTTCTGTAATTTGACGAAGGCAGAGCCTAGACTGGAATTTAAGTAATCAATAATTGGAAGCCAAGTAGTCACTATATGTGTACTAGATGGATACAGTTCATAACAAAACTGGTTTTCTTTAAAAATTCTCCAAATTATTAAGGTTTCAATCTTCTGTAATTTGGCGGGGGCATAGATTAGGTTCGAATTCAAATATTCGAGAATTGGAGACCAAGTAGTTTTTGACAAATTACCAAATTACCGAGTATCAAATTTTCTGTAATTTGGCGAAGGCAGAGGTTAACTCGAATTTAAATAATCAAGAATTGGAAGCCAAGTAGTCAATATCGATACTATATATTTAGGAAAGAGACCATATACGCGTACTAGATGGATACAGTTCATAACAAAACTGGTGTGTTCCTTCAAAATTTTTATAAATTATGGTATTTTAAATTATCTGTAATTTGGCGAATGCAGATGTTAGACTCCAATTTAAATAATCAAGAATTGGAGGCCAAGTAGTCAATATCGATATTATATATCAGGAATAGAGATCATTCACGCGCACTAGATAGAAACAAGTCATAACGAAATTAGTTTTTATTCAAAATCTTGACCAAATTATTGATTTTCAAATTTTCTGTAATTTGGCGACGGCAGAGGTTAGACTCGATTTCAAATAGCAGAGGTTAGACTCGATTTCAAATATTCAAGAATTGGAGGCCAAGTAGTCAATCGACACTGAATGTCAGTGAAAGAGACCATTCACGCGTACTAGGTGGATATAGTTCATAACAAAATTGGTTTTCATTAAAAATTCTGCAAATTATTAAGGTTTGAATTTTATGTAATTTGGCGAAGGCAGAGGTTCGACTAAAATTTAAATATTCAAGAATTGGAGGCCAAGTACTCAATATCGATACTATATATCGAGAAAAGATACCATTTCCGCTTACTAGATAGGAACAGGTCATAACGAAATTGGTTTTCATTCAGAATTCTGACCAAACTATTGATTTGTAAATTTTCTGTCATTTGGCGAAGGCAGAGGTTAGACTCGAATTTAAATATTCAATAATTGCAGGCCAAATAGTCAATATCGATTCTATATATCAGAAAAAGAGACCATTCACGCGTACTAGATAGAAAGAGGTCATAACGAAATTGATTTTCATTCAAAATTTTGACCGAACTATTGATTTTCAAATTTTCTGTAATTTGGCGAAGGCAGAGGTTATAATCCAATTTAAATATTCAAGAATTGGAGGCCAAGAAGTAGTGGATGGTTTGCTCCACTCGCTCAATCGACCGCTACGTGAACCGGTGGTTCGAACCGCAAGGCTTGACCATCGATTTTTACTTCCTATCGTCCAACTCGTGTTAGAAATCATACGTTGAAAGGTGAGACCTCATCAGTCCTTAGCCCGCACAAGTTTCGATTTTTGAGATTTGTTTTTCGTAGAGGAGCGACAGCTGGTTGACGAACTAACACGTTTCAACAGTTTTTCCCAACAGATTGACTCCAGAAACGCTCCTAAATCTCAGACAACGTTTATACGTTGTCTGACATTTGTTGTCAATTTAGAATGGTTCAAGCATGTTCCGTGCATTAGTACTTCCTCAATTTGAACTCTCATGATAATGGTCACTGGATAGAGAAAAAAGTATGACTGTTGAGGTTACGATACAAAAATGTTCTCTTTGAACACAAAATCGACCTTTCCTTGAATTTTTTCTCATAACGATTATACTTTGAAGATATTTGCTTTGTTTCATTTTCGGTACCTCAGAATATATATTCAAGTCGATAAAGATCAAATAAATGACCTGCCCAAAAAATAACTATGACAAAAATAACAATATTGTTTACTTCTATCCAATTTTAAGTCACATTGCGGTGAGCACCTATCAATTTTTTCTACTCCACTGGGTTAAAATATCGAGCTAGTGATTTTCCTATTTTTTTCAATGAAGACAATATTGAATAACTAAAATAGCAAAATATTCATTCGTTTCTAATGTTTCTTTATGAATAAAGTAAATACGTTTCTCCACATATCTAGAATGTGAAATATTTCCAATTCTCCGAAAGAACGCCCTGTTTTAACATTTTCTTGATATCGGTTCCATTCAATAGCTTTTCTCAGATGAAATATGAATATAAACGTGAATGGAAAAATACGTATACACAAACACAAATAAAGATCTAAAGATATACCTTTGAAGTTCACCGCAAGTATTATAATTTGTTTTCGATAGAAAATATTTCGTCGCAGACATATGTACTCGATTTGGTTCCATATTTATTATTCATTGGAATATATTGATATGCAGAATTGAAACTTCCAGCTCAAAAATTGAAAAATAAATATTTTTATAGTAGTATATACTGCAAATAGAATGAACATTAGGTGGTTGAAAAAAATGAATGAAAGTGCATCTGCGAGTGACATTTGAACCAATTTTAATTCTCTTTATGGTGCGGAAAAAAATTACTCGTTATAAGTTAGTCTTTTTGCGACAACTTCACTGAAATCACTCATATTTGGAATTTTGTTAAATTCCAAAACATCATTTAAACAAGCAATTTTTCATATTCGAACGACTTTTCGTCTCTCATAATTTGCGATTTTCATATACTGGCACTCATCTTGAAGACAAGTATATTTATAACGAAATCAGTAGTCATTGAAACTTTTGGCGGAGCAGCTGCAAATTATCTGTAATTTGGCGAAGGCGTCAGCTAAGATATTCATGTTTATTACAATCAATTCTGTAAATAAAATCAGATTGTTTTCGTGATTGCTGTACTTCTGGGCATTTCAAATTTTCTATTTTGGTGACAGTAGAATAATTATTTCATCTAGTACGTGAGTACGATATCGTCGTATCGTATATATATTAATATGAATTAGTTGGCTATCTCTCAAATTTTAAGATTCAGTTTCAACCGGCGTCTTCGCCAAATTACAGAAAATTTTAAACTTGTCCATCAAAAGTTTGAATAATAACCGGTTTTGTTAAAGATACACTTATTAAGGTTTGAATTTTATGTAATTTGGCGAAGGCAGAGGTTCGACTAAAATTTAAATATTCAAGAATTGGAGGCCAAGTACTCAATATCGATACTATATATCGAGAAAAGATACCATTTCCGCTTACTAGATAGGAACAGGTCATAACGAAATTGGTTTTCATTCAGAATTCTGACCAAACTATTGATTTGTAAATTTTCTGTCATTTGGCGAAGGCAGAGGTTAGACTCGAATTTAAATATTCAATAATTGCAGGCCAAATAGTCAATATCGATTCTATATATCAGAAAAAGAGACCATTCACGCGTACTAGATAGAAAGAGGTCATAACGAAATTGATTTTCATTCAAAATTTTGACCGAACTATTGATTTTCAAATTTTCTGTAATTTGGCGAAGGCAGAGGTTATAATCCAATTTAAATATTCAAGAATTGGAGGCCAAGAAGTAGTGGATGGTTTGCTCCACTCGCTCAATCGACCGCTACGTGAACCGGTGGTTCGAACCGCAAGGCTTGACCATCGATTTTTACTTCCTATCGTCCAACTCGTGTTAGAAATCATACGTTGAAAGGTGAGACCTCATCAGTCCTTAGCCCGCACAAGTTTCGATTTTTGAGATTTGTTTTTCGTAGAGGAGCGACAGCTGGTTGACGAACTAACACGTTTCAACAGTTTTTCCCAACAGATTGACTCCAGAAACGCATTTCGGTAGCAAAAATCAGTTTTCAGTTCTGATTCTGAATTAATCAAAGAATAATTTTTTTCAGACCTAATTCTGAAATGATCAATATGAAAAAAATGCCATCTAGTGGAAATAAATGGTGCCTTTGCCTAAAAATACATCTTTTTCAATTGGAGGAATCATAGAAACTTGATTAGAGAAATTTTTATGATACATAAAAAGTTTTACTGAAATTTCTAACAGATGGAGTTGGGTACAAAATATGTCATTTACATTTTCTTATTATTTCATAGTTATGATTCTTCAAGAGTGAGTATAGTAGCCCCACGAAAGGAATTTGAAAACGAACTTCAGCCTAAATATATGGTATATTATTCGAATGTAAAGGTTTCAAGAGGTTTGATGAAACGGGTTTACTTGTGGGTTACTTTTTAGAACCTTTGGTGTAGTAATGAATATCACTGGAGTTTTTTCCCAACACCAAACACACCAGTAATATTTAAAACGGGGTTAGTTAACGTATATTTATTAACTTGCAGTTTGCAACTTTGACATTCTACCAATGTGAATTGCAGGTTCACTGTTAATTGGGGTACTAATATTTGTGAATCAAGAAAATTTGACTATTTTTCTCCTTTTTTTCATGTTGTTCTCAACACGATGATGAATTGAATTCTCCAACGCCAAACAAAAAGCAGTGTCGAGTCTTTTGATCTTATTATTCCGCTCTTCATTCATATTTCCTGAGTATCATCTACTTCAACTCAAAAATATATAATTTCGCAAGAACCTTAGAAATGATAGGGTATGAAAAAAATAGAACTGTCTCGGATAGGTATTGTATAGTGTATTTGTATATAGTCCTGCAGTATGAAAAGCACATTCTCGTGAATTCAAAACGATAAATTATATTGTTATCATGAAAAATACTGAGTTGCCACAATAAATATTCAGCGCTCTAGATTTGGTTCAAAAATCATTTGTTGCGAGATGATAACTTGTTTTTTAATTAATTTAATTGAATGAGAATGAGAACAATCATCAAATACCCCATTTTAAGCATTTATCAATGTCTGCTCTCTGTAAAATCCATACAATGTAACTATTAAGCTGAAATCAATGAAGACGATTTCTTCAATAGTTATTTCGGATATTTTCCATCATATGCAATATCGTGTAACATATACATACGTCATATACATTTGGACCGTCACAAATTTAAAACGTTTGAAAATCCTGACGAAAATTTAGTCTCTATTGATTGCGGTGTCTAATTTATAGGAGGTAGTATTATTGGATAATCATTGTATAAACTAGTTTTAAATCTAAACAACATGAAACATTAATGTTTGTGAAGATTATTTGTTACTAAATGTAAGACTATAATAAATGCATTTGTTATAATGGTATTTTTATTGTAATGAAAATAATAACCACATTCCATACTCTGAGAAAATATTTATATTCCAGTATATAATTGCAATTGAACATTCTTGGATTGGCTATAAGTATTATTGAAACTGTATATCTGAATGGGAAAGATATTTCTACAATTTGAGATCCTTTCCCACATTTTATAGAGGCAACATACCTTTCAAATGATGTATCAATCATTTCCCGTGCTACTAAAGGAAAATGAATGGTAGCTGATACACAGAAGCGAATAAAGTTTCGATTTGGAATGATATATCAAAATTGACTCACCTACATTGAAATTAACGTGTTATTTGAAATTTTTGAACATACGCCCGTTTCTGAGTTGATTGAGTGATTGAATTTCTATTGAAACACCCTGTATAGATGTTTATTCGGACCGCGCCTGGTTACCCTGAGCTACGTTCTGGCTAGTGAATCTCGTAAATGCAGCGCTGTATAAAAATCTCTCGCTAACTAGGGAAACTATTTCGTGAGATTGTTCCACGGACACAAAGCCTCAGGGTGAAATGAGAGAGTGTACATTCATCCAACATAGAGCTGGGCTTGGCTTCATCTTTTCACAATATTCGGTTTTACGTTTAGAATATTCCATTATATATCATTCATCCGGGACGAGTTTAACAGAACAAAGACCTACTTTCAAGATTCATAAAACATTGTATCTTAGCAAAGAGAACTGAATTTCGAATTGAATATTCAGAACAACCAATTATTTTATATTATTCACCAAAAACTCCTTTTTGAAAACTGAAGAGGTCTCTATCCTACAATTAACTGAGAATATTGAGCATAGAAAGAATTTTTAAGGAGACAGTTCAAGATAAACATTCCCGATGTGTAGAAAAAAGATTCTGTAGAGCACGTTAGTGAAATGAATAATGAAGAAAAAATAATTGAAATTTTCTATGTTTTATACCACTTTCATTTGTAACTGACGTTACAGCAGTTTTATCCTATAAGGATGAAACCACAAGACATACAATCCAATAGAGAAAACAAATTTAACTGTGAATGTTGCACATGGCATGTTGGTCAGACTGGACGGTATCATCGAACACGAGTTTCAGAACACATGATTTCGATCTGCCAATTATTCTAGATATTCAACCATATTCATCGAAAAGAATTTTGAGCGAGATGATACATATCCTTGAATGATATAGTGTTAACAGCAGAAGGGATGTCCATGACCTTAATACTGCATATTCCAATTTGATAAGTGGAACAGCTGTATAATTTTTCCTTTTTTCATTCTTTTTCTTTCTGTCATTGATTAAAAATCAGACACCACCTTATCGGAATCTGAAATAGAACCATTCGTTAATTTCATGACCTTTTGTGTTGGTGTTGTCTGTAAAATTTGGTTGTTGCAATGTTTCTTATTTTTTATTATATATCTGATATGTCTGATGGTGTCAAAGATAGTTGTATTATCAATACGAAAAAACTACTTCTCGGTGAATAATTGAATCAAGAACTGATCATTTCCAGTAAAATTGGAACGATAATAAATGCATGAGGTTTGTGAGGAGTTTATTTCTGAAAATTCACTGTTACAAAGCGCTGAAGAACAATGTATTCGAATTTGAAACGTCGGCAAGAAAACAATTGTTTTTTTAGGAAAAAATTGATCATGCCACCCAAACAACCTTCCTTTGGATACATTATTTTCCTCTATCGAATCTAATATGAAAATTGGTAATCAGTTAATAACATGCAACCATTCAATAGCCAATAGTTCTACTTCAACAGTTCTCAATATGGTTTTCGAAGAAATGAGCCTTCTTCTCAAGCAGGTCACAATCTAGTGTATAACATAGTCGTAGTTCTTGATCAGGAAAACCACTCTTCTTTGTGACATGATAAAAGCTTTTGACTGTGTATTGCACAATATTTCGACTGAAAAAAATGATTTACCATGGTGTCTGTGGCATATCTCTCAAGTTCGTTCGTTCTCATGTCATAAATAGGTACCAATATGTTGAAGTGAACAACATAAAGTCAGACCTCGAAGAAATGAAGCATGGTATTTCTCAGGGCTCCGTTTCAGGTCCACTATTTTACTTGATCTATATCGATGATCTATGTAGTTTTATAGATGTAGATTTTTTTTTATTATGAAAGAAAGTTGCTTCAACCACGGAGGGTTATCACCTGGTGCAGTCTATTTGGAGGGTAGATGTTCCAAGGTTTTACCGAATATTTCACTTCGAGTAATTTGGAGCAGTTTTGTTGCCACTGCATTTGCCAGTATTCTTGGATGCGGAACTTTATTTGGCTGTTTATATCTCTATACCATACCTTTCGTTTATTGATATCTGAAAACGTATTCATTGCGTCTCTAGCTATTCTATCTGCTTCTTCATTGCCTGGAATACCGACATGTGATGGAGCCCATATAATTTTTATTTCACTGTTAGAGTGAGATGTATGGAGATATATCTGCTCTTTTATACGAATAATGGTTGGGTGGCTTGGAAACAATTGCTGCAAACTCTGTATTACCCCCAGCGAGTCAGTGGTTCCGAGTCTTGTTATATATCTCATAGCTTGCAAAATGCCAAATAACTCCGCGCTATAAATACTGAAGCTTGATGGCAGTAGAAATGCTTGTGATGCGTTATCTGTTACGAAAGCTGCCGTTACTTTGATATCTGATTTTGACGCATCCGTGTTAATTTTTTTATGTTCAGGAAAGTTGGATTTCAGTGGAAGGAAGTTTCGAACTATCGTAATGGATGGTGTTTCGGTCTTGTTAAAACGGGTAAGGGAGAAATTGTATTCACTAAAAAATCGAACATCGTCAAACCCACTCTCAAATTGAAAGGAAGCAACATCGAAGTCACGGAGAAAATACAATATCTCGGAATGATCCTGGATGAAAAGCTCAGTTAGGACCCTCTCATAAAAAAACTTGTATCATCATGTCGGAACAGCCTGAATTTAATGAAAGTATTATCAAATCAGCGTTGGGGATCAGGCAACAAAACACTGCTCATGGTGTATAGAGCATTAATAAGACCAAAATTAGACTATGGTTCATT